TATTTTTGAAGCAAAGAAACCTGAATGTTATCACGTTTAGAGGTGCGAAACGTCTGGGAGCGGTGTAAGACCTTTACAGTGTGCGTGGCTCGCAGAACTTCGATGGTTTCAAACACATGTGGTCAACCGAAATGGCGGTAATAAATTCATTGTGGGAAGGCATCTTTCTCAGAACAGGTAGGCTAAGGAACGTTTGTGCATAAAAAATTAAAGTAAGTAGTTCACAATTTTAATCATTCGTTGAGACAGTGAATGCTTGTGTTTTGTTGAGAAAGCTCAACCAACATGTCTGTAGAGGCTTACAAGCGTTCATGTTTACGTTTATGTTTAGCAGGGATAAGCTTGTTTTGCAGAAAGCCGGGTGCTAGTTAGAGATTAGAGTTAGGAAACTGAGTGAATCAGGTTCCATGTAGGGTCATTATACTGGGAATACTGACCTGAAACTTTATTCACTTCGCTTTCTAACCCTAATCACTAAACTTGTGAGTCATTTTGGCGTTCTGCATTCTGCGATACCCCAGACGGCATGCGTTTCAATCTGAATTAAGGTGGCTCGATATAGTTTTTCAAGGTCAATACCTCCCAAGTTTGAGCATAAACTACGTCGCCATAAACAAAGATTTGGAAAAATTGACACCACAGTTGTATTAGATAAAGATGAAAATTTGTTATGATCAGGGTTGCAATGATATCGGAGTTTCGTACACAACAATAGCTAGTATTTTTGCATATGTCAAATGCATTGTTAGTTACTGCTGTTCACGTGAAAATGAAACTTTGAGACAATACCCTGAATAATAAGAGGCTCTCACTTCTAAACACAAAATTTCTGACAAAATATTAGCGAATTGTAGCCCTTATTTTACTACCTTACAATATATCAATAATCTTGAAACTAAGAGCTCATATAAAAGGACGGTTTATCTCAAGACTCTTAAATTTTTAAAAAAATTTATCGAGCGGTTTAGAAATTATTCGCTAATTTGTTAAAGTAGACCGAAATGTTTACATTACCGCTAACAAGAGCGCCTTGATACATACTAATCAAATCCTTCTTTCTAGCAATCGGCTGGAGGTATCTCCATGATCTTTCACACACGCTTTTAAAAAGATTGAAACTACTATGAGGTGAAATTGCATGTCAAAAGCGCTTCGTTTAGTACAGATAACAGTCGAACATCGAGATTGTCCATTTTTTACCGTATTTCTAACCATAAAAACCAGTTCCCAAAATATCTCCATAACGCTCTTACAGATTTCGCTTAAACTTCACGAACATCGAGGCAGCTTTTGTAGGAAAAAGCTCCAGTAAACGATTTTGGAAGAACAGTTCCCAGTGCTGAGAAATCATGCTGCAAGCAAAATAGGTAATGGCGTCATTTCATTGCTATGACAACTCCGATGACATTGCAACCCTGATCATAACAAAATTTCATCTTCATCTAATACAACTGTGGTGTCAATTTTTCCAAATCTTTGTTTATGGCGACGTAGTTTACGCTCAAACGTGGGAGGTATTGACCCTGAAAAACTGTATCGAGCCACCTTAACACTGGGAAAATTTTCGAACAACCTACATTTACTACTTATAAAACAATGAATCACTTCAAACTCTTTATCAAACTGTATCAGTGTGACGGCAAAAATATTTGAGTGTTTACGTGCATAAGACACAAGGTAATTATTTGGTGCTATACTGGTGTAAGTTTTGCAGTACACTAGCCAAGCAGTTTTTACTTTGGGTTTTTTGCTTAGTGGGAAGGTGCTTGGCAGTTTTATAGTTGTTAGTTGGTTGTTCACTTCAGTTGAACCAAACGTCTCTGCACCTCTCATTAAAGACCACTATCTCTGTCCCAGGAGATACATTCCGATTCACGTTTGTTTTAAGCAGATGGCAAAGTGCAAAGAAAATCATTTCTACAGCTTGCCATTCGTCCAAGCTGAAGCTAGCATTTACTAGCCCAGACATCATTCAACCCCAAAGATTTTTGACAAGCCAAATTGATTTTGCAGTTCTTCGGCTATTCGAATTCCTCAAAACACATCATTTGCCCGCCAGGCAAGTTAAAAACACTAGCCCGATAGCAAAATCAGCTAACCTGGGGCTATTGGACACTACTTTCTTTGCACACCGGATGGGCTCTTAGGGTGATTTGTATGGTTGTTTACTATTTACATGGCTAACTGGTCGTTTCAAGGTTTGGGCAAAATGGTACGTACACAAAATTCAGAACTGGTAAATTTTGTACTTGAATCATGATTATTATTTGAACAAATCAGTCCCATTAAGCGGGAAATTAAGTGGCCTGCAACGTCTGAAACTGGTATAATATTTAAAGGTTGCTTTGAAGAAATTCAGGAATTTCCATTTAGAACATTTTGTTATGAAAAATAGCACTCATCCATTGCTTCCAGAAATTTCTGCCAGAAAAACCAAAACAGTTCAGGGATTGAAATTAACTTTTCCATTTAGGCGCCAGCTGGCAACTAGACAAAAATTTTTGGTCGCCAATTTGAACTTTTTGGTCACCAATTTGGTTGCCAGTATGGTTATGTCAGAAGAAAATGCTAGTGCACTGATGGAGGTCACTACACTCGGAGTTCGAGTTATCAGGAGCTCGAAGAAAATAGCCGGGAGTAAGGAAAAAACAGTTTCTACTGGACTTATTACGACTTTTTACTGTACAGTGAACATTTTAATCACATTCAATTGTAGAAAGGTTAAGTGACAATTGAAAGATACTTCTAGATTATAAATCAAAACGTAACGTAACGGAACATTTCCTAAATAGAGCATGCGAGAAGTAGAGCTGTTTCATATTAGATTTGTGACAAACAGCATCAGCCTCCACTAGTAAATTATATGCCTACAACACGTCAATAGGAAATTCAATATTCAATGTTTTGGATGCTGGTACACTGTTTTTTCCGACTTTTTAAGGGCTCATGTCATGGTTCGAGTTATCGAGAGTAAAATTATCTAGAAAATATCTGAGGGGAAACAAAAATTACTTCGAGTTAGCAGGAGGTTGGAGTTATTGAGGGTTTCGAGTTACCGAGGGTGAAATTACAGTAAATGTATAACGGAAATCCAGGGGAAATCGATTTTGGTTAGAGTTAGGGAGGGTTCGAGTTATCTGGAGTCAACTGTATTTCGTCGTTTTCTGTAATACTCATAAAATCTGTGAAAAACTTTATCAGACTAAAATCCTCCTACACCAAGGTGAAGTCCCCATGCATTGTCCCTTTTAAGCTTTTATTAGCATCACTTCTATGCCAGTTTGTAAACTACTTCTTCCCTGTTGAAGTGCCCATTCTCGTACAAAAAATGGCAAATTCTGCATCCTCAACACAATGTACTAATATTCGATAGGTTCTGTTAGTAGTAAATTTGATTGTAATATCATTCTGTAAGACTAGATATTTTGTAACTTTAGCTTGTTTTTCAGTAATTCTTATTTATCTACATAGTTTATTTAGTTACTTTACAGTTATTATATTATCTGTTATGACTCCTGTAACCTTTCCTCTCCGCCTGCCTCGTCTAGCTTTTAATATTTGCGGGTGGAGATGGCAAAAAAATGTGCATGAAATAAAGTATAGTGTGTGTGTGTGTGTGTGATGGTGATGTGTCAATCAGTTTGTTCAATCAGTTCCTACAAGTTACCATAGGTCAGAACTCGGAGACGCAGGTGGTCCTTCATACAAAAATACCCTTGTCTCAGTATTTTTCCGTACATCAGCTCGTTCGTATGAAGTTAGTCTTGACACTCTTTTATAGCTTTTTCCACCAGTCATTTTGCAAGGTTTTGTGCGGAAAGTAGTATAAAATAATGTGGTCAACCATGGCTGAAGAAGTTAAAGTTGTAAATGACTCCATGATGTGTTTTAGCCATTAATGTGTTCAAAAGAGGGTTAAAAAAAATCTTAGTCCCAGAAACTGTAATTTGTCTTTGAAAAAGGCTTGAAAAGTCCTTGAAATTTGTTTGTCAGAAGTTGTATGAACCATGTCTATGGACCCGATGAAATATGTAAATCAATGGTTCACTGTTCACCTTTGGAGACCTGGAGACAAGCCAAAAATTGAGATCCAGTTCTGGGCGCCCAGGTCCTTTCCCAAAGACGAAATGACAGCTGAGTGTGATGTGCACAAAATGATTTTTTTGCCTGGTTTATTTCTGGTTTTAATCACTACAAGTTGCCTTTCCTCAAACTTAGATGAAGAGACCAGAACTTTTATTAGACTTGTGATCGAAAAGGTTAACAAAGATGCTTCCTTCTTTTGCAATGGGCCTTTTTTCTGCGATACTTACATGGAAGACCTGTCATTACTACGGTTGGCATTTTACACACATCAGACTCCGCTGCCATTTCATTAGTGCGAAAGAGCCCGGGACCGAATCTTAGTAGTTGTCTTGGAAAGTCTTTGAAATACACTACTTTGTTTCCGTGACATCATTTTCTGGGAAATTAGATTCTAGAGCATAGGAAAAAAAAGGTACAGTTTTAATACATGTATAGTGAAACAATAATGCTCAGTATGAAACTGGAAGCAACAATATTTCATTGGTGTTTCTTTCTTTCAAACACTATTTCTGTATCTCATACTACAAGTCATACCCAGTGACTCTTGTCATTTGGCAAAGTAATGTTGTTAAGGAAAGTAGTACACCATAATGTGAGAGATGACCAACCATGGCTGAAGAAGTAAAAATCGTAAATTACGTCATTGAGTGTTTCAGGCGGCGAGGTGTTCAAAAGGGGGTCAAAGAATGCCAATTTATTGGATAAATCTTAGACCTTGAAAACTGTGATTTGTTCTTAAAAGTCCTTGAATTTTGTTTTTCTGAAGTTGTACAAACCATCATGATGAATTATGCACGTGATTTTAACCGATCAGAAACAGAGAAAAATTTTGAATGAATAATATTATTTATATGGTACTTCTAATGTTATGAAAGACCTGCTACATGTGATGCCTTTTTCTTTGTTTAAACTAACAGACAGCAGTGATAGGATGTGCAAGAAGTGAAGCTCCTTGTGTTTTATGTGGACGAGCTGGAGAGCAGAATGACCAGGCAACCATGCAGGTAGGTGTTGTTTTGAATCAGCCGCTCTCTTCTTGGGAGAACTTCCTGTAATTATTCACTGGTTCAGTAATCACCAAGATTGGGGTTTGGCTTCATATGAGCTTCATATACTTTCATTTATATCATTTTTATTCACCTTCATCTGCCTTATTTAAAAACGTTTCTCTTTATTTGGCTCCACCTATGTTCAGTCACTGTGATCTTCCTTCTTCATTTATTATTTTTACCTTCATCAGCCTTTACTTCATTTCATTCACTTTTATTTATTTTGGGTTTATCTACATTTCATATTCATTTATCTTCATCACAGCACCCCTTTCAACACACTGTTATCTTTATCTGGCCTTCTTTAACTTTCTGAAAATGTAACTTCATATTTGTAAACCTCCATTCATTGTTGTCTATGTTTAGTGACCTTCATGTATTTTCATGTGTATTGACACAACTTAATTAACCTATATCATTGTTCTGTTGTCTTTACATTGTATCTTCCTTCCTCTGTATTTTACTTATTTTCATATTGTTTAGTCAAAATTAATGGTCTGCCTCGATATCAATCTCTTTAGTTCTTCCTGCCTTTATCAACAGTTCCCCTCAAAAATAAAACATTCACCTCCCTCTTGTTCTTGAGAGATGAAAGTGGCATCTTGAGAAAAAATCTTGCCATTGAGCGAGGTTTTTCCTTGTTTTGATTGTAATCCTTTCAATATATTTATAATAACTGTTTGTAACAGTATTGTTCTTAATACTTGGATTTCTGGGGCAAAGGTGATAACACACTCACAACATGCTTCCACTTGAAAACAAAAGAAATTGACTTTAACGGCCTACAAAGCACACTAGAGACACCATGGTCAAGCGTGCAACTTAGTGTGCTACATTGCATGCAAACTTACCTGATGAGAAGCGAAAGTAATGCAATCATCGTAAGTCATTCTTTATGTGAAAGCCAAAGCTCCTATCAGTAGATAATGGTCATCTTCATGATCAGAAAAACAAAGCTGAAACATTTCCTACAAACGAGTCAATTTTTGGTTTTTGTGGAGCCTGTTTTTTTCCAAACATCACAAACGTATTTCTTTTAGCTTTTTTTTAGGGCACCTTCAAGTTCAAGGTTGAAATAATACTGAACAAATTAATTTCCTCGACCGCATAACACAAGCTAGCAAAATGCAGACTGAGAAGAAAAATAGTTTTCTTTTTTCTTGCCAATATAATAACTTACGTATTGTCACGCAATCTCCATTCCAAGGTCATCTTCCCCCGGCATCTGTCACAGAAATTCAGGAAGCATGTTTTTGTTCTCGAAATGAGTCAAAAACATTATATATTTACAAAAGTGACCTGTTGAAATCCTGACATCATTACTTGTTTGAAGCCTTTACAGCTGTGTTTTAACTTAAGCACATGATGTTACGATGGTTAAAGTAAGTACAGGTTAGACAAATCACTGTTTTATAACCGAACAAGCTATAGCGCAATGCTTTGTGTAAAAAGTTGTGACGTAAAGCACAATATTCTGAAAGCATCTTTCACTATTTTGTGTGAACAGTAACTAGAGTACAAAATGTGACAGAAAAAATCTTTATGCTATCTGTAGTCATTCAAGCCTTAAAAATGTTGGTTATGTTCCTCTGTACACCTTTTGCAAATTGTTGTATAGACAGTGACTGGGCTTTAGAAATCACTTTGCATAGCTTATCAGCCAGACAGGTTCCACCCTGTGCAGATTTCACCTGATCACCGAAGTGTCTGTAATAATGAGGTTAAGTTTATCTGAATTTACTCTCTGGGGCTGAGATTTAGTGTCTGTTGTCCGTATTAGAGAGAGTCTATAATATCTAGAGGCTTTCTGTAAAGAAAATATGAGAATTTTATGGGGACATTGAAACTGTCTGTATTAGAGAGGTCTCTGTACCGATAGGTTCGACTGCACCTTAAAAAACAGTAATTCATCAAAATCGCGAAATTTAAGTTGCCCGAAAATAAGTGATAATAAGGTAGTCTGCAGTCTGCAATTTGTACTGACCGAAAACGCTAACTTCGGTTGTTGCAGTCCAATGCGAGTGAAATTTGCATGTCACGCGTAATTTGAAACCTCTTGCTTTTACACACATCAAAAGTTTTTTTTTAAATACATACAACAGTAACCTAACCTTTTCTAAAGGCAGCTAAAAGCAAGGAGAAACAGTCATGATTTTAATACCGAAGGTTTCTTAAGACTTAAATTCATTTGAGATCATTTTTAGACAAGAAACTTAATGGAAGTCAGAGAAGCGAATTTCAAGTACTTGTTTGTTTACTTTTCTTCTCCGAAAATTTTTTGGGGCCTACAGCTGGCAATCAACAGTTTTATCTTCACTGCAAAAGCACAGAATGAGCAGGGAATTTTGTTGTTTGTTCACTGGAA